TTGATTTTGATTCACTCTGACACAGGTGTGATTATACTTTTTTTTTTAAATCTATTTATTATCTTTTTCTTAATCTGAAATAATCTACATCTTACTATTTTTTCCCTAAATCAAAAATCATCCACCACCATACAATGCCCTTCATATTCCAATGCACTGGAAGTATACACCATTGGGGAGGGAGGCTGTCTGCACACCATTTTAAGAATATCAACTTTTTTAACTCTTTAAATTTCAAATGTTTATTTATTTTCTGGGAGTCGTGTCAAAATAAACTTTTTCTGTATATGCTTATTTTTCTGAAATTCAAGAATTTGCCTATCTTAATACTATAATTTTCTTAGTATTACTGCTATAATTTACCCTTTTATCTCTTAACTAACCCTAAATGACCCATCTGCCCCCATATGCTCAGGAATGGCACTCCATTTTTTTTACATTTTTTTTCTCAAGCATAAGCATCAAATCAGATCTCATCACACTGGATACCCTGCTACTTCTACAAGCATCAAAAGAGCAATATATGAAAGCTTGGCCAATAAATGCTGTATCGATAGGAAGCAGGAAAAAGCAAAAAAAATATTCTTCAAAACTGTGAGTCCAAGATTAAGTACAAAAATTCAGTCAACAATTACCTCCACTGTGAAGAGCTGTGCCAGTGCTTCAAGTATTCTAACTCGCTGATCTGTAGGAGCTGTACGCATTTTAGTCCCAATGATGTCTAGCACTTCGTCCATCTCAGTCTCTGAATGACGTACATACATACAACCACATTAATACACAGGTAATTGTGGAAGACAAAGGCTGGCATATTGAGGGTACTATTCTGACTGGGAAATATGCAAACGATTGCATAAGCACATTATGTAAAAAAAAAAAGAGGATATCTGTAACTGAAATTTGAAAATGCACAGAGAGAGGGTATGGTTAAATGAAAGAGTATGATCTTTTTCTTAATTCTTCTGCAAATCAAAGTTCCTAATTCTCTTCAGTTGTTCCACAGAAGTATATATTTGAAATATTCCATTTCACTTAACAAAATATTGATGCTATTTACACATCCTTTTTATTGTTTATGAGGAGTAACTTCTATGCTAACGGCTCATTTGCATCCAATCACCTTAAGCTAATTCATCACAACCCCTAAATTCTGTCTTTGTTATTTTGAACTTATTGTTGCAAGAAACTTTTTTCACTAAATCTTATTAGAAGCTTATAAAATGTATATGCTTTACTCATAGGAACTTTATTTGTGACTTTAATAATAGTGACCTCTTTACCAATTACAAAATCTCATATCATCAATTATCTACAACTGTCTTAATCAAAACACCAACACACAACAGAAAACCTCACAGGCAAACAAATAAGAGCATAACCTACTGAACTTTGCCAGAGCCAGTATCCCTTCCGGAGAACTGCCAATGTGCACCACTGTTTCAATGGCCACCAACTGGAATGTGGGGTCTCCAAGATCCAGAGTTCCAGCCGCGAGTCGGAGAATCATCACCATGACAGAACCATACTCTTCAACCATCCTGCGGGGCTGGGTGTGTCCCATATTCCCAAAGAACTTGATCAAACCTAGGAAGATAGAGTTCAATATTATGTAGACACAATGGCATTAACACCTGAAAACAAAATTCTGTTGTTAAGATTAAGCAGACTACTTGCTCCTCTCACATATCTATGTCCACAACATGAAGCAACAGTAACTGTGGAAGAAACTGCAGACTATGCCCCTTTTTAACCACTCATGCCAGTATTTGAGAGGCGGTTTCTCCTCAATGATTGCAGCCAGGGCCAAACTAGCAACCAATTGTTTAGCATGCATAACTTAAGGGGACCGTCTAGTCAAAAAATACCAGACAGTCGCCTTAAAGCAGGCTTATACCTGGCATGAGTGACAGATTTGCCATGACATGATAAGACTTCTTCCAGCATGATTGGGACTGCATGGACCATGATGTTATCCATGCTTCTTTATCACCTCTGTGGCTCATGATCTCAACGATGTCTCTTTCCTATCAGACTTGTCAGGGACTGACAGCTCCAGGGTGAGGTCCTGAATGGCTCATCTGATTCATTGCTGTTGTCTTACTAACAGCATAATCTTTTTATTAGGCTTCAGGGGGTCTGATTGTTATTTTTTCTTCTTCGGTTGAGGTTGTGGGTCAGAGTGAGTTCAAGGAGGTTGGAAGTCTTACCTAGATTGGAGTAGAGCTCACTTTGTACTCCTTCTGGGATTTCAAAGCCATCATGGCAACAATAGCATATTTTTTTTTTTTCACTTTTCATCAACCTAATTTCAAGGTCTTTCAAAAAACCAAAACTCCTATAGTTTCCTACTGAATTTTTTTTCATTCATAATGTTAAATAACCACAAATGTCTCACCAGGCATGAGCAGAGCAGCCATTGGGTCATTCTCAGCCAGGGAAAGGAGGTATTGCAGCTTGGCAACAACCCCTGCACGGTGCAAGAGGGCCATGCCATCCCTTGACACAACCAGGGTGGTGAGGAGTTCCAGTGCATTGAGCTGTGTCAACACGTCTCCTGTTGTGACCTCAGCTGTTAGTCGGTCCAGGAGCCCTGAGTTGGAGACTGTGCTCATTGCCAAGTCTCCCAGCAAGCACACTTGAACCAACATCTGAAACATTGAGTCTGTTACAAAAAGTGCAAGAGACATATCTTGGTAAAAATACTGTAACAGACACAAATATACACACAAACATACTACTATTTGCTTATAACGACAATGAATTTATCTAACAGACAATGATTGGATACATCAGCACGAGACAGGGGGGGGGGGGAGACAGGGAAAGAGGGAGAGAGGGAGAAAGGGAGAAAGGGAGAGGGAGAGAGAGAGAGAGAGAGGGGAGAGAGAGAGGGAGAGAGAGAGAGAGAGAGAGAGAGAGAGAGAGAGAGAGAGAGAGAGAGAGAGAGAGAGAGAGAGAGAGAGAGAGAGAGAGAGAGAGAGAGAGAGAGAGAGAGAGAGAGAGAGAGAGAGAGAGAGAGAGAGAGAGAGAGAGAGAGAGAGAGAGAGAGAGAGAGAGAGAGAGAGAGAGAGAGAGAGAGAGAGAGAGAGAGAGAGAGAGAGAGAGAGAGAGAGTAATCCAATAAAAATCAAAACAGGTACTTACATCATACACATTGAATCTGCATGAATCTGATTTTGCCATGACTGTTTGCATGATCGACACGGATTCACTTGAAAATACTGCCCTAATTCCTTCTGCCTGCCTGCAAACAGTCAGCAGGGTATCGCTGGCAACTTTGACCACTCCAAGGGACGAGTCTCCCAGGCTACTCACAATGCCCAACAAGAGAGGAGCGTCGGATATAACTGACATGACACCCATGTCGGTGTCTGAGCAAAGCTGGATCTGTAATATGGAATGTTACTGTTACTAATGAAAACATTTCTGAAACATATACGTATGTGTACATATACACAAACATATATATACATATCTGTATATACATATTATATATATATATTCATATATACATATTTATATATATCTATAATATATTTCTATCTATCTATCTATCTATATATAGACATATATATATTTATATTAATATTATATATATATATATAATATATATATATATATATATATATATATATATATATATATATATATATATATATATATATATATATATATACATATATATACATACATACACATATATATATATATATATATATATATATATATATATATATATATATATATATATATATATATATATATATATATATATATATATATATATATATATTATACATATATGTATATCTATATATATGCATATCTATCTATCTATCTATCTATCTATCTATCTATCTATCTATCTATCTATCTATCTATCTATCTATCTATCTATCTATCTATCTATATAAAAAAAAAAAAAAAAAAAAAATCTCATCATCACCACCACATAAGGATGGCATCTAGTTAATAAGACTAGATATAATTTTACTTGCCTCTTTGAGCACCAAAGTTCGAACTTTTTCATGTGGGTGTGCCAACCCACGTAACAGGACTGGACTCACAAAGGGAGTAAAGTGAGTCAAAATGTCCACTGTCAATTCTACTTGCTCACTGAAAAAAAGTGTTATATATACATATAAGGTGATAAACACCACCAAGTTTCAGATCATTTGAATAATAAATAATGAAGTTATTGAAAAAAAGTTTTTGAAAAATCACAAAATTTTCAGTATCGTAATTATCCATTAATCTAACTTATTAAAAAAAAAAAAAAAAAAAACATAGATTTTGGAATTTCCTCTTAGTTTTGTGAGAATTTATTTTTTTTGAAATGTTCAGTCTTATAAACATAAGGTATAATATATGTACTTCTATTACCTCAAATGAAAATTGTCTTTCCCCTAAAAATTGTAAATTTATTCAACTTTCAAATGATCCAAACCCCATTAAAATTGCCCAAGCACTTATAGAGAAATAGAAAAAAAGGTTGATAAAGGAGTCTTGTCTATCAGCTGATAAAGTAGAGTTGCCAGCTAGCTACCAGCGAATACCAAAATAAATTGAAAGAAATTCTAAAAAAAAAAAAAAAAAAAAGAAAAGAAAAAGAAGAAGAAGAAGAAAAAAAATGTTATGTATATTTGCATGGTGGCGACAAAATAAACATCGGAGTGGGTAGTGGGGTGGAGTGGGTAGTGGGTGGAGTGGGAGGGGGGGGGGTCAGAGTTTTAATGATCTCCTTTATTTTAATGTATTTAGCAGAAAAATTATATCACATTATTGCCATAGCCTACTAGATTACAAATTTTTTTTTCAAATTTTCGAGTATTTTAAAAAATATTTGTTAAAATTCAGCGTGACGGCCCCCTTAAGATTCATCACATTTGAACTAATGTGTAATTTATGCACTTGCTCATATGCATATAAAAGAGTTTTCAATTTGTATGCTATTTGACAAGAATACACACACACACCATATATATATATATATATATATA